ACACACACACACACACACACACACACACACACACACACACACACACAAACACGCATACATGCATACAAAGCTAATAACTTTCTTTGCCCCTAGGGAGGATAAGTAGATAGCTTAGCTTAGGCCATGAGGCTTCTGACTATTCTACCATTTGAATTTTGAATAAAGTCACAATAAAAAAATTTCACGAAATTTTAAATCAATCCATCAATCAATTAATCAGTGCAGCTCTCTCCCCGGTATCTTACCGCTGCGTCAGTGCAGTTAGGCATCAGCAAATTAATGAGAGGAGAGAGGATGCCCCTGCTCTTGGGCACCCGCAGGAACTTACTCCAGCTCCAGACACACCGTAAACACTTTCATCTAGCGGAAGATAAGCTGTGAAATCGGATTTCTGAACCACAAGACACTTGTGTAAAAACTGCATTCCATGCCAGGCCTGAAATGTTCCAAAGCTCAGTTCGTATTTTCTTTTAGAAATTATTTTGGCGAGGAGAGAGGGAAGATGGCAGCGTAGGAGGACGCTGGGCTCACCGCGCGTCCTGCTGATCACTTAGATTCCACCTACACCTGCCTAAATAACCCAGAAAACCGCCAGAGGATTAGCAGAACGGAGTCTCCGGAGCCAAGCGCAGACGAGAGGCCCACGGAAGAGGGTAGGAAGGGCGGCGAGGCGGTGCGCGCTCCACGGACTGGCGGGAGGGAGCCGGGGCGGAGGAGCGGCTCGCCGTCCAAGCAGAGCCCCCTAGTCTGGCTGGCAAAAGCGGAGGGGCCTGACGGACTGTGTTCCGACAGCAAGCGCGACTTAGCGTCTGGGGGGTCATAAGTTAACTGCTCTGCTCGGAAAGCGGGAAGGCTGGAGGACAAAGGGAGGGAGAGCTGCTGAGCCCCCTGACGACAGAGCTCAGTTTGGTGGGGAACAAAGGCGCTCGCCAGCGCCATCTCCCCCGCCCATCCCCCAGCCAAAATCCCAAAGGGAACCAGTTCCTGCCAGGGAACTTGCTCGCTCCGCTCAAACACCCAACTCTGTGCTTCTGCGGAGCCAAACCTCCGACAGCGGGTCTGACTCCCTCCTGCTGCCACAGGGCCCCTCCTGAAGTGGATCACCTAAGGAGAAGCGAGCCAAGCCTGCCCCTCCTGCCCCCGTGCACCTTGCCTACCCACCCCAGCTAAGACGCCAGATCCCCAGCATCACAAGCCTGGCAGTGTGCAAGTAGCCCAGACGGGCCACGCCACCCCACAGTGAATCCCGCCCCTAGGAGAGGGGAAGAGAAGGCACACACCAGTCTGACTGTGGCCCCAGCGGTGGGCTGGGGGCAGACATCAGGTCACTGCGGCCCCGCCCACCAACTCCAGTTATACAACACAGCACAGGGGAAGTGCCCTGCAGGTCCTCACCACTCCAGGGACTATCCAAAATGACCAAGCGGAAGAATTCCCCTCAGAAGAATCACCAGGAAATAATAACAGCTAATGAACTGATCAAAAAGGATTTAAATAATATAACAGAAAGTGAATTTAGAATAATAGTCATAAAATTAATCGCTGGGCTTGAAAACAGTATAGCTGACAGCAGAGAATCTCTTGCTACAGAGATCAAGGGACTAAGGAACAGTCACGAGGAGCTGAAAAACGCTTTAAATGAAATGCATAACAAAATGGAAACCACCACAGCTCGGATTGAAGAGGCAGAGGAGAGAATAGGTGAACTAGAAGATAAAGTTATGGAAAAAGAGGAAGCTGAGAAAAAGAGAGATACAAAAATCCAGGAGTATGAGGGGAAAATTAGAGAACTAAGTGATACACTAAAAAGAAATAATATATGCATAATTGGTATCCCAGAGGAGGAAGAGAGAGGGAAAGGTGCTGAAGGGGTACTTGAAGAAATTATAGCTGAGAACTTCCCTGAACTGGGGAAGGAAAAAGGCATTGAAATCCAAGAGGCACAGAGAACTCCCTTCAGACGCAACTTGAATCGATCTTCTGCACGACATATCATAGAGAAACTGGCAAAATACAAGGATAAAGAGAAAATTCTGAAAGCAGCAAGGGGTAAACGTGCCCTCACATATAAAGGGAGACCTATAAGACTCGTGACTGATCTCTCTTTTGAAACTTGGCAGGCCAGAAAGAATTGGCACGAGATTTTCAGTGTGCTAAACAGAAAAAATATGCAGCCGAGAATCCTTTATCCAGCAAGTCTGTCATTTAGAATAGAAGGAGAGATAAAGGTCTTCCCAAACAAACAAAAACTGAAGGAATTTGTTACCATTAAACCAGCCCTACAAGAGATCCTAAGGGGGACCCTGTGAGACAAAATACCGGAGACATCACTATAAGCATAAAACATACAGACATCACAATGACTCTAAACCCGTATCTTTCTATAATAACACTGAATGTAAATGGATTAAATGCGCCAACCAAAAGACATAGGGTATCAGAATGGATAAAAAAACAAGACCCATCTATTTGCTGTCTACAAGAGACTCATTTTAGACCTGAGGACACCTTTAGATTGAGAGTAAGGGGATGGAGAACTATTTATCATGCTACTGGAAGCCAAAAGAAAGCTGGAGTAGCCATACTTATATCAGACAAACTAGACTTTAAATTAAAGGCTGTAACAAGAGATGAAGAAGGGCATTATATAATAATTACAGGGTCTATCCATCAGGAAGAGCTAACAATTATAAATGTCTATATGCCGAATACCAGAGCCCCCAAATATATAAAACAACTACTCATAAACATAACCAACCTTATTGATAAGAATGTGGTAATTGCAGGGGACTTTAACACCCCACTTACAGAAATGGATAGATCATCTAGACACACGGTCAATAAAGAAACAAGGGCCCTGAATGAGACATTGGATCAGATGGACTTGACAGATATATTTAGAACTCTGCATCCCAAAGCAACAGAATATACTTTCTTCTCGAGTGCACATGGAACATTCTCCAAGATAGATCATATACTGGGTCACAAAACAGCCCTTCATAAGTTTACAAGAATTGAAATTATACCATGCATACTTTCAGACCACAATGCTATGAAGCTTGAAATCAACCACAGGAAAAAGTCTGGAAAACCTCCAAAAGCATGGAGGTTAAAGAACACCCTACTAACGAATGAGTGGGTCAACCATGCAATTAGAGAAGAAATTAAAAAATATATGGAAACAAACGAAAATGAAAATACAACAATCCAAACGCTTTGGGACGCAGCGAAGGCAGTCCTGAGAGGAAAATACATTGCAATCCAGGCCTATCTCAAGAAACAAGAAAAATCCCAAATATAAAATCTAACAGCACACCTAAAGGAAATAGAAGCAGAACAGCAAAGGCAGCCTAAACCCAGCAGAAGAAGAGAAATAATAAAGTTCAGAGCAGAAATAAACAATATAGAATCTAAAAAAAACTGTAGAGCAGATCAACGAAACCAAGAGTTGTTTTTTTAAAAAATAAACAAAATTGACAAATCTCTAGCCAGGCTTCTCAAAAAGAAAAGGGAGATGACCCAAATAGATAAAATCATGAATGAAAATGGAATTATTACAACCAATCCTTCAGAGATACAAACACTTATCAGGGAATACTATGAAAAATTATATGCCAACAAATTGGACAACCTGGAAGAAATGGACAAATTCCTAAACACCCACACGCTTCCAAAACTCAATCAGGAGGAAATAGAAAGCTTGAACAGACCCATAACCAGTGAAGAAATTGAATCAGTTATCAAAAATCTCCCAACAAATAAGACTCCAGGACCAGATGGCTTCCCAGGGGAGTTCTACCAGACGTTTAAAGCAGAGATAATACCTATCCTTCTCAAGCTATTCCAAGAAATAGAAGGGGAAGGAAAACTTCCAGACTCATTCTATGAAGCCAGTATTACTTTGATTCCTAAACCAGACAGAGACCCAGTAAAAAAAGAGGACTACAGGCCAATATCCCTGATGAATATGGATGCAAAAATTCTCAATAAGATACTAGCAAATCGAATTCAACGGCATATAAAAAGAATTATGCACCATGACCAAGTGGGATTCATTCCTGGGATGCAGGGCTGGTTCAACATTCGCAAATCAATCAACGTGATACATCACATTAACAAAAAAAAAGAGAAGAACCATATGATCCTGTCAATCGATGCAGAAAAGGCCTTTGACAAAATCCAGCACCCTTTCTTAATAAAAACCCTTGAGAAAGTCGGGATAGAAGGAACATACTTAAAGATCATAAAAGCCATTTATGAAAAGCCCACAGCTAACATCATCCTCAATGGGGAAAAACTGAGAGCTTTTTCCCTGAGATCAGGAACACGACAGGGATGCCCACTCTCACCGCTGTTGTTTAACATAGTGCTGGAAGTTCTAGCTTCAGCAATCAGACAACAAAAGGAAATCAAAGGCATCACAATTGGCAAAGATGAAGTCAAGCTTTCGCTTTTTGCAGATGACATGATATTATACATGGAAAATCCGATAGACTCCACCAAAAGTCTGCTAGAACTGATCCATGAATTCAGCAAAGTTGCAGGATACAAAATCAATGTACAGAAATCAGTTGCATTCTTATACACTAACAATGAAGCAACAGAAAGACAAATAAAGAAACTGATCCCATTCACAATTGCACCAAGAAGCATAAAATACCTAGGAATAAATCTAACCAAAGATGTAAAAGATCTGTATGCTGAAAACTATAGAAAACTTATGCAGGTAATTGAAGAAGATTTAAAGAAATGGAAAGACATTCCCTGCTCATGGGTTGGAAGAATAAATATTGTCAAAATGTCAATACTACCCAAAGCTATCTACACATTCAATGCAATCCCAATCAAAATTGCACCAGCATTCTTCTCGAAACTAGAACAAGCAATCCTAAAATTCATATGGAACCACAAAAGGCCCCGAAGAGCCAAAGTAATTTTGAAGAAGAAGACCAAAGCAGGAGGCATCACAATCCCAGACTTTAGCCTCTACTACAAAGCTGTCATCATCAAGACAGCATGGTATTGGCACAAAAACAGACACATAGACCAATGGAATAGAATAGAAACCCCAGAACTAGACCCACAAACGTATGGCCAACTCATCTTTGACAAAGCAGGAAAGAACATCCAATGGAAAAAAGACAGTCTCTTTAACAAATGGTGCTGGGAGAACTGGACAGCAACATGCAGAAGGTTGAAACTAGACCACTTTCTCACACCATTCACAAAAATAAACTCAAAATGGATAAAGGACCTGAATGTGAGACAGGAAACCATCAAAACCTTAGAGGAGAAAGCAGGACCTCTCTGACCTCAGCCGTAGCAATCTCTTACTCGACACATCCCCAAAGGCAAGGGAATTAAAAGCAAAAGTGAATTACTGGGACCTTATGAAGATAAAAAGCTTCTGCACAGCAAAGGAAACAACCAACAAAACTAAAAGGCAACCAATGGAATGGGAAAAGATATTTGCAAATGACATATCGGACAAAGGGCTAGTATCCAAAATCTATAAAGAGCTCACCAAACTCCACACCCGAAAAACAAATAACCCAGTGAAGAAATGGGAAGAAAACATGAAGAGACACTTCTCTAAAGAAGACATCCGGATGGCCATCAGGCACATGAAAAGATGTTCAGCGTCGCTCCTTATCAGGGAAATACAAATCAAAACCACACTCAGATATCACCTCACGCCAGTCAGAGTGGCCAAAATGAACAAATCAGGAGACTATAGATGCTGGAGAGGATGTGGAGAAACGGGAACCCTCTTGCACTGTTGGTGGGAATGCAAATTGGTGCAGCCGCTCTGGAAAGCAGTGTGGAGGTTCCTCAGAAAATTAAAAATAGACCTACCCTATGACCCAGCAATAGCACTGCTAGGAATTTATCCAAGGGATACAGGAGTACTGATGCATAGGGGCACTTGTACCCCAATGTTTATAGCAGCACTCTCAACAAAGCCAAATTATGGAAAGAGCTTAAATGTCCATCAACTGTTGAATGGATAAAGAAATTGTGGTTTATATACACAATGGAGTACTACGTGGCAATGAGAAAAAATGAAATATGGCCTTTTGTAGCAACGTGGATGGAACTGGAGAGTGTGATGCTAAGTGAAATAAGCCATACAGAGAAAGACAGATACCATATGGTTTCACTCTTATGTGGATCCTGAGAAACTTAACAGAAACCCATGGGGGAGGGGAAGGAAAAAAAAAAGAGGTTAGAGTGGGAGAGAGCCAAAGCATAAGAGACTGTTGAGAACTGAGAACAAACTGAGGGTTGATGGGGGGTGGGAGGGAGGAGAGGGTGGGTGATGGGTACTGAGGAGGGCACCTTTTGGGATGAGCACTGGGTGTTGTATGGAAACAAATTTGGCAATAAATTTCATGTATTAAAAAAATAATAAAATAAAATAAAATAAAAAAATTAATCAGTGCAATCAGATTTTCAGTTTTCTGTTTGATAACATTCTATTCACATTAATATTAAATAATAATACATTAAGAGAATAACATATATAAGAATTTGAAAATGTCACATATTCAATTGTATGATTTTTCTATGTTTACCATGGACTTTGAGGTTATATTTTTTTTCTGTGGTTCCAGCTTCATTGACTGCCACACAGATGTACTCCCCACTGTCAAAGGGTGTAACAGAAGCAATGACCAACAATGCACCATCTTCTAAGATAGAAATCCCAGGCTCTCTGCCTGTCAGCTCTCTACCATTCCATATCCATTTGATGGTTGGTTTGGGGGTACCTAAATAAGAAAGCAAAGCTTTGTGACATTTTAAATAAAATTAGGAATCATTACAACATATCAAATATATTTGCGAGAAATAAAAATATTTTTATGACTATAATTTGTACACTAAGGCACTATGCTACTTTCAAGATATTTCTCCTGGCATGAAATAGCAAAGAGATTGGTATTTAAGGCCTCTAATTCCTGATCAGTCTTAAGAGACCTATGGTCTCTAGTGTAGAGGTTGAGCAAGTTGTTTATATCAAGATATTCAGAAGACAGTAAGCAAACCAAAACACATTCTTGAGTAAGTTCATGATCATTAGTGGGGAAAAAAACTATATTAATCAAATGGGAGAGTTCAGGGATGAAAACAAATGAAGAACAGAAAGCAAGAGACTATCACAGGAATACAACATAAAAATTGCCCAACCAAATAGAATGCATACATGATATGCAGAAGCGATACTTTATAATTTCACATTTAAAAAAATTTAACCCACGAACCATGAGATCATGACCTGAGCTGAAGTCGGACGCTTAACCAACTGAGTCACCCAGGCACCCCTAAAAATTTTTTTTTGATCTTTATTTTTTAGAAAGAGAGAGAGAGAAAGAGAGAGAGAGAGAGAGTGCGAGCGAGCTCAAGTGGAGGGGGAACAGAGAAAGAGGGAGGCACAGAATCCAAAACAGGCTCCAGGCTCCAAGCTGTCAGCACAGAGCCCAACACGGGGCTCAAACTCATGAAACATGAGTTCATGACCTGAACTGAAGTCGGATGCTTAACCAACTGAGCCACCCAGGCGCCCCTATAATTCACATTTTAAATAGGCCTGACATAGTAGAGATGAGCAATCTACTATCTACACATATGTGATGATCTCATGCTGCTAAACATAGGACAGTAGAACAATTCTTGACTTCTTATATTGAAAAGAAAGTTGGGAAAGTAGAGAGGACTGATTTCCTAGATTTATTTATGACAAAAGGGTAAATGGAAGTGATGTGCTCATGAGTAAAACTCACAAAACCATTCTGAAGTACATAATTGAGCCCAAAGCACATATTGGTAATAGACAAACATTAATTCTGTATTAAGAATATATTTATTTAACAAACAAGGTATCAGGTACTATTCTAAGTACTTTTAAAATTTACTTAATATCTATAAAAATATAAAAAAGAACATTAAATTAATATGATTACACATTATTAATAATCCTACATTAATGGGTAATAAAAATATTAAAATAATGGCATATAATCCAAGACAAGAACAAAAGAATGGCAGAATCTATAAAATGTGCCATTAATGCTAAAGCACTTATAAAAGTAACTGTGAAAGTTATATTTATGAGAAAAAATAAAACAAAAAGATTGGCCTATTTTGTTGTGCTGATAGTAAAAGGCTGACTGATGAGAAAGAGAAGGTGAACTGATGGTCTGCAGTTGTCTACGTTGCCAAAGAAAAAAGGCGTATAATCATTTCCTCATTTCTTTACATCCCTCTCATTCCTTTATGGGTTTCAGACTTAGTGGATATTTGTGAAGCTAATAAATGAAAAACTAAATGAACAAGCAAAAGAAGTATTATCTTTAACTTCTAAATGGTAAATGGTAGAACAATTATGGCCAAGATGAAATGTGTTGTAAAAGATAATGATACGGTATCTAGCTAGTTTATTATTTTTAAAAATTTTTAATGTTTATTTTTATTTTTGAGAGAGAGAGAGACAGAGTGCAAGCAAGGGAGGGGCAGAGAGAGAGTGAGACACAGAATCCAAAACAGGCTTCAGGCTCTGAGCTGTCAGCACAGAGTCCAATGTGGGGCTTGAACCCATGAACCATGAGATCATGACCTGAGCCAAAGTTGGACACTTAACCAACTGAGCCACCAAGACACTCCTCTGGCTCCCACATTTTAAAGACAAATCCTGTCAGAAGTAACAGGAAGTAGCATGAACTAAATGGGAAAGATACTAGATAAGACAAGTTTGGAATAACAGGTCTTTCCACTGAAGCAAATAAAGTATGTGTTGAGGAAAAATACCTATTCAATGAGCTGTTATTTAAAAGAGAGATTAAAAAAATAAAACAAAAGAGGGATTAATTGTCATTATGCCCAAATGTTATAGCAAGGGCCAACAAATGGATCTTTTTATAATGATGTTTTGGGTTCAATAGAGAAATCTGATATAATATAACTTTATGCCAGTGCCCATATGTCCAAGTACTACATACCTTTTGCAGGACATGGAAATGCAATGCGTTGGTTGGCCACTCTTTCTTGGAATGGAGTGTTATATGGAGGTTGTAGATCTTCCAGTGTAGGTGGTTCTATTAGAAACATAAATGCATTATCACAGGCTTTCCTTAAGCAGTATCAAACTCTCCTGAGGCATCATCAACCAACTACATTGGTGAACTGCTATCTTTCCGGATTCCTCTTTTAAATAGGACACAAATTTCTAGCTGCCAGACATTTCTACCTCGATGTGACCTAGGGATCTAAAACTCATAATGTCCCCACTGTCCAAATTTATCATTTTGTGCTTCCTACAATTCTCTTGTGTTTCCTTTATTCCCTCAGTTAAGGTGTCATGCTTCATCCATTTTTCTTATGTTTCCCTCCCTTACTCCTGACCTCCACATCCAATCAATCATATAGTGCCATATGTTCATCACATATCTGTATCTTTATCTTCCTCTATCCTTAAGGTCACTGCTGATTTCAAACCCTCACTCCTCTTGCCAAAATTACTTCAATAGACATCTTACAGGAATCCTTTTTTTTTTTTTTCAAATGTGTTCCCCTTTGGATTCATAATCTACAGAGTCCTCAGAATACTCTCTCTGAACCGCAAATCTCATTTGGGGCTTCCCTGATGAAAATCATTACTTGTATTCATTTTACCTGCAGGATAAAGTTTCACACCTGTTCGTCCTTCAGTACACCCTATCAATGAATCCAATCTCCCTGAACACCCTCACTATCCATGAAGAAATCATGAAGAAATTTGGGAGTCTTTCTTGAGTCCTCTATCTCCTTCGCTCCCTATATCCAATTGGTCACCATCCCTGATGATTTCCTCTTCTAATTATTTTTTGAGTCCACTGGCTTCTTTCCTCCAGTCCAGCTACCATCATCTTTTGCCTGAGCTACTTCTGTAGCCCCCAGCTGCTTCTCTTCACCTTCTCTAGACAAACCATTCTCTCCCCCAAAGAGTGATCTTTTAAAATCCACACCCGACACATCATTTCCCAGTAACAACCCCTCTGAATCTTTTCACTGCATACAAAATAAAGTCTAAACTCCTTAATCTAGGTTCCTAGATCTTGGATAATCTGGCCCATGACTGTGTGTCCAGCTTTACCACATATCACTCAACACTCAGTCTGAAATGGGCCAGCTGGCCTTTACTGATTGATGTATTGATTTATGACAGTATATCCAAAATGTCGTATTTCCTCCTAGAAGGCTCTCACCACTCCACCCCACCCTACTGTATCTTTGCCCATCACCTAATAAGCTTCTACTCCTTCTTCAAATCTCAACTTGCATGTCCCAATCCTTGAAAGCCTTCTTTGATTTGTCTTTCTTTAAAAACTCTTATAGATCTACCATTTCATGACAGCATTAACCAATTTTTGTGCATGAGATTATCTTGTAAATGTCTATCTTTCCCATTGAACCATAAACATAAACACTCAATAAAGTCTCCTGAATCAATGGGTGAACTGGATAAGCTCTCCAACAGTGTGCTAGCCATCCATCCCAAATTGCAATGGGGCAGTTATGAAGTACTAAGTACTATGCTAAATACAATACATCCTTATCTTTCCTTCTTGCCTTTCCACTATCATTCTCTCTGCCAATAATGCTCTTCCCCTTAATTTCCATATGGCTGGTTCTCCTTAGTCAACAGATCTCACTCCGAGTATTACTCCTCAGAGAAGTTCTACCTGACAATGCATCTAAAGTAGTCAATTGCTGGGAGTATCACCCTATTCTAATTTTCTACTTAGCACTTCTCACTATCTGTATGTCTTGCTTACTTGCTTGATTTCTGCCGATGCACAGTAGAACAGCTTATGACAGCTGGTGCTTTGCTTTTCTCACTACTTTCTCCTCATTGCCTACGATATGACAGACACCTGGCAGGAGCTTGATAAATATTTGTTGTTTGAAGGAATAAATATTTATTTTTAAAGCCTCAACACAAAGCCAACATCATTAGGGGAAACAGCAGATCTAGATTTTTAGGGATCAACATTGAGTGCATGCTAACAGGATGAGGTGAAATCCGACTCCAACTCAGTCTGTTCACAATTTCTCCCAAACCAAAAATAGTGGGTGGGGTACTTATCTAGGATTGTATCCATTATTGACATCATCCATGGCAACTTCATTTTCAAAAGTAAACATACAAAAATGGATGCAGGTTTAGTAATAGTATGGTTTCACTTCTTTCTAGAATGGTTCTCCTTTCAAAGTTAACTCAAGTCATAAAAGGTACAGAAATCTTCCAAAAGTGATCCACGACTCTCTAAGATTATATATTTTGTATAGACTCCAGGGGTTTTTCCCCACTCCCCACCCCCACCATACTTCTATTTCCTTATGCCCCAAATCACCTTGGACATGTAGGGTTATTTCCGATTCATCACTGCCTGCTATGTTAGTAGCAACACATGTATATATGCCGGCGTCAGAGAGCATGGCTTGGTTGATGCTTAAAGTTCCATCTGAACTGCTAATATGCTGCCCTCCATCAACCAGCATGGCACTTCCACCTTTAAACCAGGTGATTACAGGAAGAGGTGTCCCTTGAGCATTGCACGGAATGTCCACTCTTTGACCAACTTGGACTTTGATTAGTTTAGGGCCACGCTGTATCTTTGGAGGAACTAGAAACAAATGAGGATTAATAATCCAATTAAAAATGCTTTTAATGTTTATTTATTTATTTTTTGAGAGAGAGAGAGAGAGAGAGAGAGAAGGGGAAGAGCAGAGAGAGGGAGACACAGAACCTGAAGCAGGCTCCAGGCTCCAAGCTATCAGCACAGCTCGACATGTGGCCCGAACCCATGAACCCCGAGACCATGACCTGATCATGACTCGAGCCCAAGTCTGACGCTCAACTGACTGAGCCACCCAGGCGCCCCTATAATCCAATTCTAAACAAATTCTTTCCTTTTCTCACTTTAAATGAGAACTCTTTACCAAGAGGCAGAATGAAAAAGTGGAACGATCTCAGGATTTGGACCCAGGCTCAGGCCACTTACTAGCTGTGTGATCTAGAGCAAGTCAGTAAATTTCCTGAGGCTTGTTTCCTTAATAATCCAGGCCAAATAACCTAATCAATACCAGTACACTGCAAGGATTATGAGAAATAATAAATCTGAAACCCCTCATGCCAGACTTGAGGAAAAAGCAAGTATTTAAAAATGTTAGGTTTCCTTTAATTTATAAATAACTTGAAGTTTAAAACTCCCTCAAAAGGCAATCTAGATGATTTATATAATTTAAGAAAGTAAAAGAAAAAGCATTTCTCTTCAGGTACTCCTACTTTTTCTTCTCTTTGTGGAAGGTTTAGCCAGATAGGAAGAAAAATTTCTCATTTAAAAAACAAAAAAAGTTTCTCATAAAAGCCTTTGCTAATTTCAGAGAAGAACATCAAAACCGAGTTTCTATTTCTTGTCTTTACAGTACCTTCCTTTAGAAATTTAAATGAGATAATTTATCAGAAACATTGCCAATATTAATGCAAATAGGGAAACAGTTGACTTTAAGCAGGGAGAGATAAGGACCCTCAGGGAGACAGGCTTCAGCTGGGAGGCTGAGAAAGCGACAGTGGCAGCGGAGTTTGGGAAAAAAAGAGGATGAGATGAACCTGTTCCAGACCTCCCTGAGCTAGGTGCCAAGCATGAAGTCTCACAAACATTCTGATAAGGTCCCAATAAAAGTCAGGACAGAAATCTTCAGCAGCTACCTGGTCAGGACCCCTTTCACTCTTGAGAGCTTTATACTTTACCTCCATAAACTCTATCACTTTGCTCACTCTCTGTTGTCCCCGAGATTCATTCTTTGACTCTGTGAGACAAGGACCAGCGTCTCTCCCACCCCCCTGTAACAACTGGCTTCCATGTACATGCGTTACACACTGTAGAATCAAGTTGACTTACGTTATACAATAAATGTTCTAGTTATACAATTAGAATTTACATCCCTCAAAAGCCCCATTCCTCTGTCCTTTTTTTGTTAATATTTAACCAATACATTGTAAAGGTTGTCACTTATGACAACCTTATAATTTTGATAGGATTGTTATCATCATTTTATGAAAGAGAAAACTAAAGGTAAGAGAGGTTACGTAATATGCCCAAGATAACCTAGAGTTTGTAAATTACAGAATTCTATCTCAAATCCCATTGTTAACAGGATGCTATTATAGTGATTGATCTGACAATGAAATCAGATCGATACCATGTAAGAAAATACTTTTCTGATATTTGAATATCTGGCCTACCTATACAAATGTGTGACAGAGTATATCCTCAGTAAGCATGTGCTGAATAAATAAATATTTGGACAGACCATGGTAAATTGAGGTAATCAAACAGATTAACTAGAAAGTTTTTAAAAAGTTAGAGTCCCAGGAAGCAGAATGTTTTCAGTTGCTGAGTTCTTTGAATATTGAAAATGACCATATAAATACTAGTAAATTCTTCTTTGATAACTCACATTCACTTCTAAAAAGCCGTAAGTCTAAACACATTTTTTTTTTTACTGTGTTTTAATAGTCGCCATAAGTGACTGTGGACATTCAGTAAAATTGAGAACCAAACCTTTAATACTGTTCATTTGAGGAAACGGGGGAAAGTTGTTTACAAATGGCAGATAAACTTTCCAGAGTAAATGAAAGAAAATGACAAGTCTCCAATTTCAGAAAAATTTTCTCTAATTACTCTATAAACAATTTGGAGATTAACTATCAAAGAAACTGGTATGATGAGTTTCCCTGTGGCCTGTACAAAGATATCATATGCCCTCATTTCAAAACTCACCATGGACATTTAATTTAACAGACTGAGTCACGTTCCCAGCAATATTTGTGGCAACGCAAAGATACATCCCACTATCTGAAACACGGGTCTCAATGATCTTCATTGAACCAGAAGGAAGGAATGTGTGCCTGAAAGAAAGAAACCACATGGTAGACCATAGAACATGAGAATTTAAATATCCCCTATGCAGCTGCCCCTCAGTATGAAGTCATTACTCTGCAAGCAGTTTTTGAAACCATTCTCCCATCTATATTTCTATATACTTTAAAACTCAGGGATTTTCACAATTGTACTGTGTATTTTGTATGATATTCTTGCAAACACAAAATGTGATTTTTTTTTTACCATTAGATCTAACCTAATGGTCTCAAATCATCCAAAAACTGTACATCTCTCTGCTTTATTAACTTGTAACTATAAAAAGCCAATATATATTTTAGTAAATTTCAGCTATATTCTGAATTTTATTATTTTTTCTGCAATACTTCATTAAAAAATTTAGTGTGTTAAAGGCAAAATAAGGTACATATGTAATTCTCAAAAATATATTGAATATATTTTTCCTACAGAACAATAATGTAGTTCGGTGAACTAGATCTACATATAAAAACGTTATTATGTTTATTGTATTGAAATAGGCCAGATATACCTACTCAAAGTGTTCTACTGGCCCAGAGACAGAAAAATGAATAAATAGTTAAGGACAGAATTCTCCCCCAAAGAAATAAGCACATAGGAGAATCCAACATGTAACATATAATAATAGAGCTGATATCACAAAGATCAAGGAAAGGATTGATAATTCAAAAATGACGGGCAACTGGTTCTCCACATGGGAAAAATAAATTAAAAAAAAATACAGCACTACCTAACACTAGACACAACATAAAAATTCAGATGTATTAAAGTCAAAAATGTGAAAAAACAAGCTTAAAATATTAGAATAAAACTCTGGAAGATATGTACATATTCTTCATAAAGTACAAATCTTTTTTTAAGTTTATTTATTAGCTTTGAGAGAGAGAGAGAGTGGGAGAGACAGACGGAGAGGGGAGAGAGAGAGAAAACCCCAAGCAGGCTCCTCACTGTCAGCACAGAGCTTGATGCGGGGCTCAAACTCATGAACCATGAGATCATGACCAGGGCTGAAGTCAGACGCTTACCTGACTGAGCCACCCATGTACCCTAGAGGGAGTAGAGTAATTTAATGCAAAGAACCACTAGACCATGGTCTTGGAAAAATTTTAAATTGAAGCCGAGTCAGATGCTTAAGTGACTGAGCCACCCAGGCACCCCAGAAAGTACAAATCTTAAAAACAATAGATTAATACACTGAGTTACATAAAAAATGTAAAATTCTATGCAGACATCATACATTAAAAGTCTCACAGTGGTCTGAGAAAATATATTTTCAACACATACAACAGACAAAGGATTGTTATTAAGAATACAGACCAAATTTCTACATTCAACAAGAAAAAGATAAACAAACCAGTCATCATAAATCTGTGCAGCCGGTCTAAAGAGGCAAGTCACAGATGAAACAGATGGCCGACAAAAAAGTAAAATCATTTTTGGTTCTCTGGCAGTCAGTCACATGAAAACTAAGAGTTGCAAGATACCATTTCACACCCATCTAACCAACAAACATGTTTAAGTCCATAAACACCATGCATTGATTATAATGGGGAAATAGGTGCACCTATATGCTCATGGTAGAAAGGTAAATCATTACTGCCTCTTTGGACAGCAATTTAGCACTGTCTACAAAGCTGAAAGTAGGAATTCATTCTGACCAGAAACTATAGTTCTGGGCCAACCCTAAAGAAACTCATGCACGTGTATATGAAGAGACATATATAAAGATATTCACTCAAGAGCCTTGTTTACAAAATAAGAAAACTAAAACCAAACCAAACCAAAACAAGCAAAACCCTGAATGTCTGTACACTAGGAAATGTACAAACAAAATTCAGAATATGTATACGGTAGTTAAAAATGAATAAAGCAGGGCGCCTGGGTGGCTCAGTCGGTTGAGCGTCCGACTTCAGCTCAGGTCATGACCTCACGGCTCATGAGTTCAAGCCCTGCATCGGGCTCTGTGCTGCCAGCTCAGAGCCTGGAGCCTGCTTCAGATTCTGGGTCTCCCTCTCTCTTTGCCCCTCCCCTGCTTGCGCTCTGTCTCTCTCTGAAAAATAAACATTAAGAAGAAAATTTTAAAAATGAATAAAGCAAATCTCTATGTATAAAAATGAGTAAATATCAACTTAATAAAGCAAGCAGTAGAATAACAATATATAATATGTTACATGGCAAATTAAAAACAAACACATAAAATGAAATGAAAACTACAGGAAACCCGATTCCATACTGTTTAAGAATGGGTGCATAGGATGCACATGAGATCTGTGCAGTATTTGCCCCCTGGGGAGGGAGAAAAGCGACTGGGGAGGAAAACAATGAAACTTCAAGTTTATCTATAACATGGTATTCCTTTCATTCAAAAATATCCCAAACACATATTTTTCAAAAAAATAGTAACATTATGTAAGGTAGTTCTTAAATTATTTTTTATCTCCTCACCAGTGGATAGGGAAATGGCAAGAGCACCATTTACAGCTTCATAACTATACGCCAGTAAGTCCAACCGACATAGCTGGAAACTATAATTCTTATTCCACCAGTAACTTCTGGCATGACATTGAGTTAAAATAGTAATTGCTACTATTCCTTGAGAACTAGAGACAGGAGATGTGGAATATACATTATCTTATATATGCCTTTCAGGGAAGTATTATGTCCATTTTATAAATAAGAAATCTAAGGTTCAGAGGGCCATTGAGAAAGGCGCCAAAAGTTTCAGGCAAGCTTTAAGTGGTGGAGGTAAATTTAAACTCACACCTGCATGGCGACAAAGGTAGTACTCTCAAAGGCTCTGGCATTCTGATTTCCATGTCAATGGAATATATCAGATATATTGTCTCAGCAGGCCTTTATATGTACAAGGCTTTAATCATGAAGATTTTTACAAAAGCATCTAATGAGAGTCAAATCTTAAACATGAGAGTACTTATTGTGTTTTACTGCTCCTAAGGGATTAATGAGATTCTGTGTGCCCTATGCACTTGTGCTAACAAGTCTATATACAAATATGCTCTGTTTTAATAACTACCTTGTATACGCAGCCACGGGCAATTATGTCAAAGCTGGGTGTTAGCATTACTGATATTAAAGAATGATTTAGGGGTGCCTGGGTGGCTCTGTTGGTTAAGCATCTGACTTCGGCTCAGGTCATGATTTCATGGTTCATGAGTTTAAGCCCTGCATTGGGCTCTCTGCTGTCAGCACAGAGCCTGCTTTGGATCCTCTGTCCCCTTCTCTCTCTGCCCTTCCCCCATTTGCTCTCTATCTCTCTCAAAAATAAAATAAACATTAAAAGAAAGAGAGAAAGGAAGGAAGGAAGGGAGGGAGGGAGGGAGGGAGGAAGGAAGAAAGAAGGATAGACTGAGAAGTTAAAAATATTTTCTGTAGTCTCAGATGTATGTGTAAATTATCTCAAATTTAAAAATTATTTCTTGATACATTTGAAAACCTGAATAGGCACAACCTTGTGTCCCAAGAGATTGTGTTTGCTTGTGTCTGGCTCATCCCAGATCCCCTACCTTGGAGAGAATGGGGAGATGAGCTGCGTCTCTTTGGCCCAGGTGATGATGGGTGGGGGTAAGCTCTTCACTTCACATGGCAGTGTCACGTCTTCTCCTGCGAGGGCGGAAATCTCAGCAGGCTCATCCTGGGACAGTCCTCGTTGGTCTCCAATCACTCTGGGCCTTACTAAAATAAATGCACATTTTGGAAGGGAAATAGTACATTGAAAACATTTCACTTACATTCAAATGTGGACTACTAATACTCTTTACAAATTTACAAGAAGATGCTGTCTATGCCAAAGCTTTGGTACCTATCTAAAACTTTCTGTTAACACATTTACGGTGAGAGCTGAAAGGAAAAGGACCAGAAAGTCTCCCTTCCTCACCCTTCCTTTCAGAACATCATGACGAGGTCAGCTGAAATGCCCTTTTAGAGTCTGCCATCTATGAAAGTAAACCCTCAAGGCAGAAGTGCAAACTGAGACACAGCTGAGGTTTGGCTTTGCCAGGAGTTGGAACTAACTGGTGTTTCTAAAGCAGACTGGGTACACACAATAAGCATACTCCTTGGGAAAACACCATAACATTATCCTGAATGGCTGTACAATTACTCTCCCTTTAAATCAGAATCTAAATAGAGAAGATGTTCATTGGCAGTAAAAATACGTTTTTGTCAATGCAGTTCACTTTAGGAGTACAGCCCCCGGTAATATGATTTGGGAGAGAAATGTGAGTTTTGGCACCGGTAGAGAGTGTCCAAGAAAAACATTCCCCCAGGGGCTCTCACCATAGACGGTCAGCTGCACTTTCCTCTTGGCATAGCCAGCTGCATTGGTAGCGGTGCAGATATACTCCCCGCTCTCTTCACCCCCGGGGGACACCACATACAAACTTCCATCAGCCCCTGCGGAAAACTTAGCGCTGCTGGTGGAAATCAACTCTCCTTTCTGCAAAACACAACAAAGAGCAAAGTGTTTTCTTTAAGATAATGAAGGAGTGACTTAATGTCTGGAAAAGGAAGAGAGAGGAAGGGGAAAAAAATCTCCAAGGGGGAAAATCCTAGATTAAAAAAAAATGCTAATTTGAAGAAAGGTAATTTTAAGAAAAACTAAGCAAATAAAGCAAAGGTGATATTTCTTCATACTGAACCATGTCTTCTTTGTTCCAGAGCTTCTTAAAACTGGAGGGAATAATGGTAATACTAACGGATGGGGCAGTGCTCATGCAAAGTCACACACTGTTCTGAGTACTTCAAATGAATTAGCTATCTTAATGCTCAAAAGGGTCATATGAGTAGGAACTACCACAAGTCCCATTTTACAGCTGAAAGTATTAAAGCTTGGGGATGAAGTGGAATAACTTGCCCAATGTCACAGTCTCTCAGTGGTAGAGCTGGGACTTGAACCCCAGCAGTCAGGATCTGGAGCCCAACTCTTAACCTCTGTGCTTTCTCACAACACAAAGGCCACCCTGGAAAGTTTCATTCTTATGTTTTCCTAAAATGCATTAAACTTATACTCAGTCCTAGACACTGTGCAGTTTGGGGATAAGCTTCACCACTGTATTTTTGTGTCCAGAAAGCAGAAATCTTCACCTTTTTAATTAATTTACAGATGTCAACACCAACTTCTTTATATTTCAGAGCTTTTTAGATATATAAAATTAGACAGTATGGTAAAATACTTTGGTTGTAGCACAAACAATTACACAAAGGTCTCATTTTGTTATTATACAGTCATTTTATATTACTTATATCTGCCAGATTTAAATTAATTTACAGGAAATATGCTATCCTCATGACTGTTCAAAGATGAAAAGGACCTCCTCAGGGAGTGGTTTTTTCCTCACTGCAAGAGTACAAGTAAAAGCTGGACAACTTCATGATAGGGATGTAGAGGGGAATAAATGACTTCGTAGAGGACTTATCTTGGCTTCCTAAAAGAAGAGAGTCTGAGACAAAGATATGGAGGCAAGAAGTTTGATGCTTGAGCAGGTGAGTGGGAGAGTGAGGCACAGAAGGAAGGAAAGCTAAAAAGGGTTTCAGTGCTCTGGTTTCCTCTGTCGTTAGGTTGATAAGCTTCTGGTGCCGGGGATCCTTTGAGAAGCTATAAAGAAGCAGGCCAGAAGTATTCTTCTGATGGATGAGAAGCAGGACATTCATATAGGACACCTGCCCCCCACAGGTGTTAATGTCCCTATGCTTCCTGGCCACCTGATAGCAGGCTAAGTGGCCTTGTGGGGCTTTGGAGAAAGCCCCGAGTCCAGAAACCAGAGAGGGGTACACGTGAAGTGGGACTCTGGCAGAATGCACGGAGCTGTCCACCAGAGCTGCGCTGAAATCAAAAGAGCTGAAGGGATGTGGCAAGGGGTAAGAAAGGATCTGCTACAACATGTAAAGTGCTAAGAAAAGCTCCTGGTGCTATATTACAGTCCACCGTTGTGTTCTTAATGTTACTCAAGCCTCAGGTAGGTGATTACACTAAGGACATTCTGAGGTCCCTTCCAAGTGGTAGGAGTGCATGGGTTTTCCTTTTTATAAAGTTCTGTGGTACAGTCAAGTCCCATGTATGACCCAAAATATTCAAATAATGTTGTTATAACCCATGACATCGGCAAACACCACCAGATGGGCCATTTACCTTGGACCAAATGATAGATGGCTTGGGATTTCCACTTGCTTTGCACGGCAAAGTTACTGGAATGCCTTCAATTGTGCTGAGTACCTGCCGCCCATGCTGAATGGTTGGCAGAACTGAAAAAGGAAGCAATATTTAGAATGTGAGCATCTGTCTTTCCATGTAGCCTCATTTGTTTCAAGTTGTACATTTTCAGGATACACTGCATATTTGTAAAAACTAGCTGAGACTCAACATTTTCTGATAGAAATGTAGGGTACCTTGTAAGGCAGTGTAATAAAGTAAATATAGTAGCTATAATCTGAAGAATTTAATGAAAACTTAAAATCAAGTAGTAAATTATGCTTAGTAAGTTGACTTTCCTAACAAAAATAAGACTGAATAAAATCCATGCTTTCCTGGAAACTCAAGGTTGAATTACATCCTAAGACTTACATATTTAACGCATACCTTTCATCATTGTCCATCACCCATTAAGCTGCAGTGAGCTGACTTAAGCCCACTGCCAGAAAAGTAGACTGTTTTAGCCACTATACATTAAATGTCTGTTTACAAGAGCTACTTAGCGAGCTACTAAATTTAACCTAGAAAAAAAGGATTTGTTTTCTTAAAAGAAATTCAACAATAAAACTTGCAAGGCCTTAGGAGTTTACATTTAAGGCTAAAATACAGGATTCTAAGTCAATAGTTTTCACTAAGAGGAAAAACATACCTTTTGACTTTAGAAAGCAACTGAAGAATTAACATTATATGAGCAGAAGCAAAAGGAAAAGGAAGACTGTTAATTATTCCATTCTGTGTATATCTCAATTAATCACAAGCAACTAGCATATGAAAAAAGACCAATACTCAATGTTCTCAAAATAATGAATTTGATTAAAGAAGCTCCCACACATGAAAGTTCTTAACATAGAGTAAGGAACACAATAAAATCCCTATATACACCAGGCATTTCCTTTCCTTCCCCTGGAAAGATGTGACTGGAACTGCTCCCTAGAGCTCAAGCACTCACCGTGTCTCTTGCCTTTGAGTCAAATTTCTCTAGAATTATCATAGGTACCCTGGAGGAGTTTGACAGAACAAGAGATACCAGAGACCTCAGTACAACAACTTCCCTGAGAGGCTGAGATTAGCTTTGCTACATACTCATATTTTCTAAGGCTGGGCTTATTCTTAAAATAATTTCTTCTTAAGAAAAAATGGCAACAAATTACCAGATACTCTCTATGTCAGGTTACTCTCTAAAGCAAGAAATTTAATTTCCAGAATCATCATGGAAGAGTCAAATCTAAACTATACTGTAATTTTGTGGCAACATGGAATAAGCCATTTTCTTACATGCATATTGAGTTGGACAGCTATAAAGGAAAGTGATAAATTTAGGCATTTTCAAATCTGATGACATTTGACCATGGAAGAGCTATTTCTTTCCAGATTGTCAACCTATATAAATCAAGATGACAGTTAAATGGCTTGCCATTTTAATTGTATTTATATTTGCATGCATTAATTCATCCTCATAAGCAGTGGTCACTGAGAGCTTCTAACGACTATTCTTCAAAGTGGAGAGGTCTAGTAATGAAAGAATATGGACATAAATAAATATGGACGTAAGGAGAACCTGGCATATTGCATCACATCCAACTCAAAAACTAATCTGTCAGATAAATGGTTACTGGGTTCCTGTCAGATGTCTGGGTTGTTCTTTTCCTTTTAACCTTAGTAATTAAATCAGTTACTCATTTTGGACTAAGATAGATGAAACGATGTTGCAAAGTGATGTTTTTAACTTTTAATTCTCCAACATTTATTGCATCACAATAAACCACATCATTGGTTTGTCTATCTCCTCACTCCTCCGATTTGGCAGACATCACAGCTAATCATGTTACTCTTTTACTCAAGTAGAAATTTGCCTCAGAATCCTTCTCAATACAGTATTGAATGGAGGTGACATGATTATATTTCTATACTAAATTCTCAAACCAGTCCATAAGCACCCTCCAGGAAATCTGTGGGCTGATTTTCTCTAAAAATCGTTAAGTACAACTATACATATATTCAATCTGGCATTATGTGTTTACTCTTTTAGACTATAATTTAGTGTTACTTTAATATTTCTTTAAAATAATACTTCTTCAAGAATATCTCATGTGATGTTGGTAGAGGCTGGTATAAGACTGACAGAGGCAGAAGACGCTATTTTTTTTAAAGATTTTTTTTTTTTATTTTTATGTAATCTCCACACCCAACATGGGGCTTGAACTCACAATCCTGAGACCAAGAGTCGCACGCTTTACTGACTGAGCCATCCAGGCACCACAGAAGAGGCTATTTACATGAGAAGCAGACATAAAAAAAAAAAAAAAAAAAAAAAAAAAGATGGTCTATATCCACTGACAATTTCAATAGACCAAACAAAATGTGGAAATTACCGGAATCTCCAGCTCATGTCCTTATAAAGGGATGAATTTGCTAAAAATAAATGTTCTATGCTACTTTCATCTCTGTATATGGAACTATTTTTTAATACCATACTTTAAAAAAACAACATTGCAAAGTCTTTAAAGAAAATACACAAAAAATTTATGAAAATTTCTTAAACTATGAAGTTGTCAGTTATTTATTGAGATGTAAAAAGTCCGTGACTGTTAGTTATGAATGGAAAAAGATGGCTTTTGGATTTTCTTATTTGTGAACTTTTAAGTTATCTAACACGCAAAAAGATTGTTTGGAGCACATGAGGTAGCCTTTAGAAAAGTTTAGGTCATTTCTAGCTAACACACAAAGGGGTCATTAGTAAGGACATGGTTATTGCACAATCCAAAAAGAAAAGGCAATTTGGATGGAATAATAAGTTCGGCTTGCCTGAAATTAAAATGTATTTTTAAACATAACTTTTTGAGAACTGAGTTCACTTTTATCAATTAAGAAATCACTTACAAAAGCCCTTGGCCAGACTCAGCTGGTGACTCCCAATAAAGCCTTGTTGTGTATGTAGAAAAAGGAATTCTGGAAACACCCTTAACAATGTAAATAGTGTTCAAGAAATAAGGCTTTTTGTTAAAAATAACAATTAGGAAAAAAAATCTCCTTCTTACAACCAGAAGACAGAGTTACTTGGTTTAAAGACACAAACCTAGCTTTGAACACGGTTTGGAAAGAATTACAATGGGTGCGTCTCTTACCATGCACATCCACGGTGGTAGTTTTATTAATGGTTCCAGCAACATTACTGGCCACACAAGTATATCTGCCTCCATCCTGAAGGCGAACTCTCTCAATGTGGAGACTCCCGTCACTGCGTACAGTGATGTAAGGATTTTGGACCAACTTAAAGAAAAAGAAGTCATATTTAATTTAAAAGATAATGTTCCCTAAATCAAACCCAGATTTGTTTTTCTCCAACTGGGTTATTAAATATCTTATAACAAAATATTTTAACACCTTTAAGTGAAAAATGATGAGCATGTTACCAAATGTAGAATCAATTGTATGTCTACCTAATGTAGCACCAAAAAGTATACCTCCTAACATCTGTTGGAGTTATGCAAACGATGGAAAAAGGAAAGAAACAGAAGCATCACTTATTTCATGTTTCTGTGAATTTTGTTATCACTCAGGACCCAAATTTCACTAGTCATTTTTACTTTTGGCTTAATTTGTTCTTTTTCAAGGAGACTATTACCACTTGCAAACTATTTGATATTTTTTATTTTGGCAAATAGGAACTCATTCAAGCTGAGAGAATGTGACTATTCTCAACACTTGCCTTTTTCAGTGACAGACGCAAATATCAGAGGCAACGTATGATACAGGATCTGTGTCAGAGAAGGCTGGCAGTATTTTCTATTAAAAATGATCACGCTAACTATACCATATATGCATTCTGTTCAATCACAGGACACCTGAGTGCTCAAGCAGTATCATCCTATGTCATAAGGGCATTAAATTGTTGAGTGAGGTATACTAATTTTTCTCAGGATTTCAAGCAAAGATGAACAAGTTTACATCTTATTCCATGGAGGCAATTCACTTCTAATTGGTACTTCAAAAAGTGAGTTTAACTACTCTGGAAAATGGAAGGAAAAATGCTCTGAACTAGATGAAAATTTATCATAGGTAGCATATTTACAAAAAATCCATAGAACTGTGATAAATTTTCATATTCTTTCATAATCAAAAGTTATACCCTGAAAGACAATGACACAAAATAGACTCACATTTTTAAAAAGTTCATGATAAAGTATATAATATTGGGAGTTAATAATAAAGGTTAGTAAATGGAAAAATTTTATGAGAGTGTTAACATTTATTACATCCTGTGAAGAACATAAAAATATTTAAATACTATAAAAATAATTTTGTATTTTGAGTTTTTACATACTCTGAAGAGTTTATTAGTTGCACTGAATTGAATTCAAAACAACAGAAATCACACCATTGACTATTTCTCCGTTTTATTAATCCCAAATAACGTGAACTGAACCATGTCAATATGGAAAAAAAGTTTTGGTGTTATATTTACAAAGTATATGTTTGTATATTTATTAAATTGATATTTCAATGTTTGAAATAAATTGCCTCTTACTCAAGAAAATTACAAATGTGAATGCATGGATTTAGAATGTTCTTACCATGGCTGAATTCTTAATCCACCGACGTTCTGGAATGGGATTTCCAGCCAACAGAGCACAAGGCAAAGTAAGCTGCTGTCCTTCAATGACGCTGGTCACCGAAGGGCTGATTCCAATGAGTGGAGCAACTAAGTCGTAGAGAAACAGGTATTATCACCTCTATCTCACCCAAAAGAAAGGCAAATCTTCTTCTAGGCTGATGACTACTAATTCCACTATTTTAAAAAATGAATTTTCAAGAATAAGATTTTTAAATGTAAATAGGTCTGAACTGGAAGAGAGACATAAAAGACCCTTCAAAGCAGAAGGAATGGCAAAGGGGGTAGGTAGTAATAGAGAAGTAGACACTAAAAGAGAATTCGTCTATGGCATGCACAGCCAGAAATGTCAAGCCAAGAAATTTGCACTGTTTGATGGACAAATGGAGAGGAACTGAAATCATTTACATCTAAAAAACGTGGGATCATCAGAACCATTCTCAGGAAATACTAATCTGAAAACTGTGACTAACTTATTGGAGAAGGGAAAAATCAGAATGGATAAGATCAATGAGGAGGCTATCATAACAGCTCAAGCAAATAAAATGAGGTGGACTCTCTTAGATGGAGAGATGTTCTTTTGTAGAAATTAATTAATAAATTAAACATAAATCAAAGCAAAATCCCTAGATATTCTATTTGGAAATTTCAAGTATATGTTGATGAATAAAGGGAGATCTAGAAAGAAAATGTTATAAATGCATATTAATGAGAAACAGGCACTGAGAGATTTAAAAATCATATTAAATACTATAATAATTTAGACAATGTAGTACCAGTGCATAAATAGAATTCCAAGGAATAGACACAGGAATATAAATTTAGCATGTAACCAAATGGGTATTTTAATCAGTGGAAAGAGAATATTCAATACAAGACTCTGAAATGAAAAAAAATTTTTTTTAACTATAATGATGCACCTGGGTGGCTCAGTCGGTTAGGGTCTGATTCTTGATTTCGGCTAAGGTCATGATCCCAGCATGGCAGGATCAAGCCCTGCATTTGGCTCCTTGCTGAGCACTGAGTGTAGACCCTGATTGAGATTCTCTCATTCTCTCTCTCTCTCTCTCTCTCTCTCTCTCTCTCTCTCTCTCCCTCTGCTCCTCTCTCCTGCTTTTGTGCTCTCTCTCTCTCTCAAAATAAATTTAAAAAATGAAAACAAAAAAGGATAATGAAACAAATGTCTTACCACTAAACAATTTTGCATTCTTACTTCATATTATATCCCCAAATAATTTCATGTGGACTAAAATGAAAAGTGTAAAAAGTGGTAACCAGAAAAGAATGCCATGGCTCTAACGTGTGTGTGTGTGTGTGTGTGTGTGTGTGTGTGTGTATTTGTATTCAGGCTTAAATCAATTTATTCAAGTTGATTTATTTAAATGAAAGATAAGGAACTTGGAGAGGATGATCTGAAAGGTTATTTCCAGTTCTAACATCCCATGAAATATGAAATAGGGTGGGGGAGAGGAGGCTAATCTAGTAATCAAATATTTACCTGTTGTTTCTTTGTTTAAAGTGGCACAGACAAGAGATGATGTAATAAAAGAAGTCTGATGACTTGGAAGAGTGTGATAGCTAAGCACATACTTGATCTTACCAAGTCCTGTCACTGTTACTGTTGTCTGGGACTGGATCTTTCCAAACTGGTTTTCTGCCTCACAAATATAGGTTCCTTTATCATTTGCCCATAAGTCTAAAAAAAAAAAGAGAGAGAGATCGTTTACTCATTCAACACCATCTATGAAGCATAATCATGCCAGACACAATGCTCAAATTTGTGGGTGGAAAATGTGTGTGTACTGCCTTTTGTTACTTCCCATTCTACAGGAGGAGACATACATAAGAACCAACAATCACACCACAGTGTGATAAATGCTATAATACAAGTTTGAAACAATGAGCTGTGGGAGCACAGAGACACAGAGACATGAGAAACTGATGGCATGCAGAGGAATTAGGGAGGGATGCACGTAGTAGGTAATATACAAGCTGTACTGTAAACAGCAGGTAGAAGAGAGGAAGGGCAGTCTAAGCCCAATGGGCTGCAAAGACAAAAGCATGACTTGAAAAATCAAGGTCTGTGCAAATAATGTAAAGCTGCACCACCAATGGATGCTGCAGCACCACCTTGGGGGTATTTTGAAGGTTTGCAAGGGAGAAAGGGAGTTTTTTGTTTTTTGTTTTTGTTTTCAGTTGGCCCAATGATTGGGGGAGCATACTGGCATTTACTGGGCAAGAAGTAGGTAGGCCATGCAGAGGGCAGATTCATGGAAGGAACAATTATCCCAAATCCAGCAAGACTTCTGAAGATCCCACTGGAAATTCATGGATTTGATGGCTTTGTTTATAATTATATAATAATTACATGTATCAGTCTACATTTGAGCTGTCAAATTTATGGTGATGCACATAAACATGTATGCATATTGTGTAGACATTTCTGGAGTATTTATCTATTGAAATGTCTATTATTTCAGTAAAAATTACTTTCCTTTATTTTCCTTTGTACTACATTTTGGATATTAAAAGAGTTTTTATTATGTAGATAGGTCAAAAAGATAGACTGTTTCAGGATAATAAGAAGGATATTACAAAATATTTTTTAATTAAAGAGGGTGTTAAAGGGATCAGGATGACTACTAGGTTACAGGTTTTGTGGATATAGTCAGGGGTCAAGCTAAAGACAGAGTGTGGTGCCTTGTAAAGAGTGTGGTTTGTCTTCTGAGCAACAAGGGAGTCAACAGAAGATTTTAAATAGGGAAATGATTATAATCCTTGCAAATATCTTCACTAAATAAGCACAGTTTAATCTACTGATAAGATTTGACAGAGAAAAATGTAGCTTTCCATTATTAACAGTTCCATTTATCTCAGATAAAGAGCAGTGACAAAGCTCCTACTTCTTTGTTAACCATAGGCATATAACTTCAGAATTACATCTGGTAAGTTCAGGCAGTATCCACTCTCAACAACAGCAAACATTCATTTGCAAAGGAAAATTCACCAAATCATCTGGTTAATAAGTCACATTGTTTTTACCCAAGATATTTTTCATATTATCAACTCTTGGATTAATTTGTATAGGAATACATAAGACTGCAGAAAATGGTTTCTAATCTCTACTTTCCTTCTAGATAGTTTAAGGTGGACAGTTAAGCAACCACTGGTCAATATGTTGCCCTCTTTCATTCTTGGTTTTTTATATCACCTCTAACTGATTTGTTTCAGGTCTAATTTGTTACCCAGGCTTTTCTCATCACTATTATTACCCCACATGTATAACCCTGTAAGCCTCCCCCATTTTCATATCTTTTATCCTGCAGAGGGGTTGTCCTGCAGTGAAGCTTGGAGGGCTATTTTCTACGTCATCAAAAGCATTTATTCACCTGCACATTCCAGGTCCTGCATAATCTGACCCAGTAGGTACTTTTGTGGCCATCCCCTTAGATGGTGGGTTGTAAAATGCCTAAGTGGGGGACCCCATATACGACTTCTGTCTTAACTACAGAGCCTAGCCCAGAGCTAATCACTTAAGCACTTCTAATTAGTTTAATTCATATTTGGAAGTTTAAGTGGCTAATGTACATTTAATATTGTTAATAAACATGGAAATCACTTACTGAAGGCTTTCTACAAAATAACCCCAAAGATACAATTACCCTTTAAAAATCAGTTACTTGACTAAATGTTTTTATTTCTCTAGTGCCACTATTCAAACATTCTGAATATTATTTGAAAAAGTACAAAGTATTTACAAATATTTGAATGCTTAATAGCTTATAGGCAAAATTCTTGGATGATAGAGTACTTTTTAAAAAATCTTACACTCCAGGTGGATATAATTTTTAATCAAGGAGCTTCCATAGAGTATAGAGTCCCTATGGTTATATACTGTTGGTCAAAAATAATTCATTAAAGTTAACTAACTACTATTTTAATATTTTACCTTTCTATACAGCAGTTGGTATAAGAGACAATAAAATGTGATCACTTATTCACCTAGAGGCCCAGGTGACTCTATTTGTAATAAGAAACAGTGACATATGAAGAAGTCACATTGCTTCACAAGCCTTTATGATATCACATACATTTGAATAAAATATAATTTATGACAATTCCAAAATATAAGAGTTTAACACCATTTTAAAGTGAAATCCAACATACACAAAATGTGTTATGACTAATTCACAATTTTACACATAGTAATCCCTGTGTATAAAACATGAATGTATAATAAATGTGCATACTTGTACAAAATATATTTCCTTTAACCTACTTGAAATAAAGAGAGCTCCTGTTCTTAGTTGGCTGATGGAACTCACTGAAAAGGGTCTTGAGAAGATTGGCATGTTGTCTGACCTACGCCATTTAATCTTTGGTTCTGGATAACCCTGGACATAGCAAGGTAGTGTCACATTTGAGCCAATTTCCATAGACACATCAGCAGGTTCTTGTATGAAAACTGGAGGTGCTGGAAGATATTTAAAACAAACAAAAAAAGGTTGTTGGGACAGTGTAAAGGCACATTAAATATAAACTTAATTATTAAAATGTCAACAGATTGAATCTGAATCAGGTATTGTTCACATAATATTATAAATTTACCCTTTACTCCTGTATGCTATTGAAATAGCAGACATTTCTTTTTTTGCTTTATAAATGAATAGAGGCACAAAGAAATTCAACTACTTCCTTAAAGTGACAAATGATAAAGAGAGTGGAATTCAAGAGTAGGAATTTAAATCAAGACTACTTTAAATAAAGAGAACTTTCATTTTAGAAATTTCTTTTCAATTTTAGTTAATGTCATACTGCTCAAATCTTTGAACTTTCTTATAAATAAATTTGCCTTATAATGAAAAATTTTTGACAAAACTTAACTCCTACTGGTTTAAAGAACTTAATTTATACTAGAGCACATTCTTTAACAGATCACTGTATCTCCAGCTAAAATATTTAATCCTAAATTAAATCTTTGCTCTATATCACATTCTTGCTTCTCAGTATCTTTCATCTTTTGTTTGTTTTTTGTTTTTTGTTTTTTTTTTTTTTTACATTTTTCAATTAAAGGAATTTAAGCTTGAGAATCAATAACAACAACAGAATATAGTATTTGATAAAAAGAGAATAATGAGAGCTTAATATCTTAGAGTTAAAATCTGATTCAGAAATTATAAAATTATAGATTAAAAGGCTACAGTTATCCACATAATTTAGGTAAACACAGAAGCCAGGAGGAAGAATTAGAAATGTGTTGTTGGCACAACTTGGAAAACATGGGAAGGAAATACAGGAGAAAGCTATCAGCCAGCCCAAATAAGTTCCCCAGAACTTATAAGTAATGATGTATGAGGCATCAGACAAGGAGGTAGAATGCTATTAAAGCATTCATGAAGTAATTCATGAAACCTGCTCATGTTGGATTCTAAGAGGAGGAGCCCAAGAGAGGGATCCTTGGTAACGTCAAGGTTAAATATTGCTTAGGAATTCAACTATCACTTACAAAGCAAGGACTGTTATAGGTGCTTTCCATTAATTTTCTCATTTGATCTTCACAATAACGCTGTGGGGTAAGTATTACTATTACTCGAATTTTATAGATGAAGAAATTGACACACAGATTTGCTAAGTGTTACATGGAATTGAAGACTGGAGGTAGGATTGAAAACCAGGTTGATACTGGTAACAGTTTTTTGTCATTTTATCAGCCTCCCCTTTTCTATGAGTTCCTACAACTGCTCGAAGTCAAGGTGTTTAGCAAGCTAATAAAAATGGGTGCGGAGATCACTTCTTGCTTTCTCATTGGGAATTTTGAAACTCGGACGCACAGTTGTCTCCTGAGCAGCATTAATGCTTTATTAACCTAGGCTAAAGGATATCCTCTAACTTTGCAGCCTCATCTCCCATTATTCACCTACAGAAATCTTATTCAAGGGACCATCAGAACTCTTTACTCTTCTCTAAATAAGGATTAACCATTTTCATACCAGTACCTGTGTTACAGTCATCCCTCTCAAATGCAATGTTGGTAACTGATCTCTGGCTATTGAAATATTGACAATTCTTTAGTCCAGTTCAAAAGGTCCCTCTTTGAGGCCATCTCTCATCCTCCCAGATGGACATGACTTCCTCCCTCTGTGAGGTACAAAACTCACTCTGTACCACTTCCATGGCAATGGCCTTATCCAGCCTTTTATTAGACTATGTGTTTGATTTTCCCTAGAGAGTTTATGTTTGCAACCATATTTTATCTTTTATAGCAGCTAACCTAGTACTTTGTGCATTATCATGGTTGCTTAATATCTGTGAATGAGTGAATCAATATTAAAATGCTTCAATAATAATGTAATATGTGCATTTGTATACGTATGTAAGTGTATGTGGTGTTAACAACTTTGATCTTTTGAAAAAAACATGGCAATTTCAGAAGCCTACTGTTGGTTCATTGAGCCTAAATAAAATAAAATAAAATTAAATCCACAATGTAATATGTTTTTAACAAGAAGGAGAGGGGGCGCCTGGGTGGCGCAGTCAGTTAAGCGTCCGACTTCAGCCAGGTCACGATCTCGCGGTCCGTGAGTTTGAGCCCCGCGTCGGGCTCTGGGCTGATGGCTCAGTGCCTGGAGCCTGTTTCCAATTCTGTGTCTCCCTCTCTGTCTGCCCCTCCCCCGTTCATGCTCTGTCTCTCTCTGTCCCCCCAAAAATAAATAAACGTTGAAAAAAAATTAAAAACAACAACAACAACAACAACAACAAAAAACAAGAAGGAGAGTAGCTGTGTTTAGATTTCTCTTAATCCACCTATGTGGGAAACTGACATATAAAATTCATAGGCAAAATAAACACATTTTAAAAACAATTCATAAAATAGCTCATTGTTTTTCTATCCTAGGTGTAAAGGACTAGTTACTTTTCTCTGCATTGACAGTAGTCATTTATCCCAGAGCCAGTTGCTTTTCGGAGAAATAGAGGTTATAAAAGTCTCAGGATGTGTTAGATGCAGAGTATGGGCAGGTAGATGTGGAAATGGGGCAGAAAATCAATTTCAGAAGAACAAAAAGATATGCAGAAGCCTGGGGTTGACCAGACATTTGAGAGGAAACCAAGCTTACTGACAACAGCAGAACATAGCCATCAGTCAAAATGGAAACAAATCAGAATTTTCAGAAGTAAGAAAGCCAAGAACGAACTGGACTAGAAAAGGATAAGCAGAGCTCAAGTTGTGCCCATAAAACTCGGTTAAGACAGGAGAAGTCATCTGTGCTGAAGAAGCTTTGGGAACAGTGTCAGGTACAAGACAAGCAAAAGGTTAGGGAATATACATCCTGGTACCAGAAAACAAGGCAAATGAGAGTACCAGGCACTAGGTAAGGAGCCAAGAGAGCATCAGTGGCAAGGAAACCTCAAAAATGAAGCAACTCCTAACTCAAGCCAAGAAGCCTTCTAAATACTTCCTACTCTTGATTGTGGCCAATTCGAACTCCAAGTGAGTTATATTGAGTGGATGGCAAACAGATTAACAGGGCTACGGAAGGGGCAGTGGTGACTGTAGTACAAAACACGGGGTTTGTTCAGAGGAGGCTGTGTTGCGTAGAGATGTTACAGTCCGTTAGGTTGTTTTAATTTTTTTTTTTTAACATTTTTATTTATTTTTGAGACAGAGAGAGACAGAGAATGAACGGGGGAGGGGCAGAGAGAGAAGGAGACACAGAATCGGAAACAGGCTCCAGGCTCTGAGCCATCAGCCCAGAGCCCGACGCGGGGCTCGAACTCACGGACCGCGAGATCGTGACCTGGCTGAAGTCGGACGCTTAACCGACTGCGCCACCCAGGCGCCCCGTTAGGTTGTTTTAAATGGCAGCTCCATTATTTCTTAGTCTATAAATTGGAAAATTCTTTTACTTCCCTCAGTCTAAATCTCTCTATGAACAATAAGGAGATAATAACGTTCCTATCTCGTGTTGTTAAAAGACCTGGTCTTTATTAATCATTTAGCATGTAGTAATCACCCAAATATTAACTACACTAGTTATAAACACTGTTGAATTCATGCATTAAATCTTAGCTCCAGGGGCGCCTGGGTGGCTCAGTCAGTTGAGCGACCGACTTCAGCTCAGGTCATGATCTCACAGTTTTTGAGTTCAAGCCCCGCATGGGGCTCTGGGCTGACAGCTCAGAGCCTGGAGCCTGCTTCGGATTCTGTGTCTCCCTCTCTCTCTGCCCCTCCCCCACTCATGCTCTGTCTCTCTCTGTCTCAGAAATAAATAAACATTAAAAAAAATTTTTTTAAATATTAGCTCCAGAACTTAATAAAACTATTATTAATTTCAATATCAGCTTCTGCATACAGCCTGTCAGGATTATGCTGGATCACTGTGATCCCCTAAATATTTACGTGCAAACCCCTTGAGAACTGTAAAATTAATGCATGGTACAGCTTTGTTGTAGCTCACTGATAGATATGGCTGTGCACATACATCATTTTGAAAACAGAAAGTCACAAACAGATTGACCATGTTGCTCTAAAGTCTATTGCATAAAATTATTCTGGTTCCTTTGGTGATAATTAAATGTATACCCACTTGGGCAACTCTAGCATTGCATTAGTCAAAGATTTTCTTTCCTAAAATGGCTGAACACACTGTTTTGGTTCTAGCAAACCACAAAACACAAAACCGCAGTCTAGGACTCAAACCCTGAGTGGTGTGGAATGCTGCAAATAAAATTGCTGCCAGGCCAACATTTTGTTTGATGTAGCCAATCTTCTTCTCTTCCAAATGACTTCACAATTCACTACCTCTTTTTAAAAAAAGGATGGAAAGCACTGGTAACTTTCCCTCTTGACCTGAAATGTCCATAACTCAGAGCCCTGATAATGAGAAGCAGGAAAAAGGAGACTCACTACAAGAAGCTATAACTCAACAATAATATTGAACAGCTTTATTACTCTTATTTTTTTGATCTACTATTGATGCAAAGTAATAGGCCCACAAAAACAATCTGAAAGTCCAACAGCTACATGATAGGGATAAAGGTATGTTTTTCTTTTTAGGTCATAAGCTACTTAAATTTATGCCCGATAGTTTTGGAACTCAAATGAATTTTATGCACTACTACTAATAGTAGTAGTAAAGGCTTGAATTGTCTCAAGCCTTTAAAGAAAATCAATTGGAAACAGTGACTTTCATATTAAAAGCCCAATGCTTAATCTTAAATACTATGCCACTATTATATATGCATTGCTATATTACTTTTTAAGACGCAGAGAATCAGAATGGTAATTCAATTTGTGGAGTTCATTTTTTTGATACATGTGCCATTAAGCAGCTTTAGATGAACAGCAGTAACCAATGGACATGTTGAATGCACATGGGTGATGATGCTTCATTTCAAATTTATAACCAACGTATCAGTAGGTACTCTTAAAAGTCAGGCAGAAAACCCAGCCTCTCTCCAAAGCCCATTCTCTTAGCCACTATATAAATTCTGAGGAAAAGTTTGGTTTTTCGTTTGTTTGCTTCTAAACCTAACAGTGATAACCACAACCATCACTGCAACTGTGATTTGCACAGGCCTTAGCAGTTACACCCTGTGTCTGCTAGGATATGGGACCATAGTTTTATGTGGACAGAAAAGGTCTAACCAAACTTTGTGAGCCACAGTGATCAGAATTCTAATGGTGGGTAAGGAGATAGTTATTAAGGCATAATGGATGCATGTATGGCGATGGTGTTAGAATGAAGCTATCTGGCAACTGTTAATGATCATGGTTACAGTAAGGACACAATTGAGTTCATGTTAATAGCTCCAACAGAACAATTACTGGAATAAAAGTTGAGAAGCCATTGTTTTAGAAAAGGTCATAGTGGGGCGCCTGGGTGGCTCAGTCGGTTAAGCGTCCGACTTCGGCTCAGGTCATGATCTCACGGTCCGTGAGTTCAAGCCCCGCATCGGGCTCTGTGCTGACCGCTCAGAGCATGGAGCCTGTTTCAGATTCTGTGTCTCCCTCTCTCTCTGACCCTCCCCCGTTCATGCTCTGTCTCTGTCTCAAAAATAAATAAACGTTAAGAAAAATTAAAAAAAAAAAAAAGAAAAGGTCATAGAGAGTGAAGATCTTGAATATGAGTGAAGATAAAACAAAATTCAGTTCAAGGAATGAGGATAAATACAAAATATTGGTTAGGATGTTTCCTAATCCAATGCAAATCACTCCAGCACAGATAGCCCTAAGGCTACATGGATTTTCACTAGTCAACAGCGAGAACCTGGAAAGTTCAGAAACTAAAAATATCATCAAGAAGGCAGTAAGTAAGCAAGGAAATGTGTATGTTGTTTATATTTTCCATAATCTTGGAGAGGGGTGAGAGTGTCATTCCCCTTTTGCTGGGAACAATTACTCAGGCTAATTCATTCTTCCTTAAAGCCAGACAACTCTAGAAGGATGTTGGGTCAATATAAAATACCTGAGCAGGAAAGAGGAAGAGGCAGAACTAGAAAATGTTGGGTATTTGAAACACGATACTTTATATATTTCTTAGAAACAAGAATTCTGCACCAAGTGACCCTCTTCATTTGGGCCTTACATTTCTAAAAGCATTCCTTGTGTTTTAACTTCAGATATCCTCCACCTGAAGATTCCAATCTTATTTCCAAGGCACTTCTCTCAATAACCTCAGCTTTTAGTCACGGTCAAACACATTTTGCTGTGCCTTAGACAGATTCTACAGTGGTCTTTATGGCCATTTCCAGCTCTGTTGATTGTACCCCAAGAGCATAATCACCAAGAGTACAGAGTGTTCACCAGACAGCCCAGGGGCAAGGGGATCATAAAAGATCCCAGGAGGAAAGAAATTAGTTTATATGAAAGAACATATTAAGCTTGGAGGGCCAGGATATTCATTTAGAGAATTAAGATAGAACTGGAATGGTTTGTATTACTTTATCCTAAAAAAAAAAAAATCTGCATTTTCTTTATAGTTCCCAACTTTTGTTTAAAAAAAAAAACAGCTGAGGCATGAAAATCATCATACATAAATGAAAATACAATTTAAGAAAATGTCATATTTTATAAGTTTAACTAATGTCAATGTTTGAATTATTTGTTAGAATTAAGCTGCCAGGTTCCTTTTCATACAAAGCAAGCTCTGTTTTATTTCATGTGTTCCTACACTGTGTATCAATTATTTTTTAAGAAACATGACATAGAGAGACAAAGAAGGAGAAAGAACCAAACTTCTTGAGTAATCTGATGACAGTGGTCATACACATGCTGTATCCTTCACATTGTGACTGACATTTATTTGTTGTTAGTACTTGAGGAGTAATTGCTAGTAAAAAAATTTTTTTTAAATAAAAGCACAATGTGCTACCTTTGCTATCATCAACATCTCCAAATTATGGTCTAGAGCCAAAGTCTAATTTCTGGCCTCCAGATGTTAATACTTAGCAATTTTGTGTCGGAACGGATGACTCCTGTTACGAAAATGTCTGGCAATAGATGATATTCCAGTGAAGCTTATAGTCTCTGATGTCAGATTACCTGGGTTCAAATATCCAGGCTCTGCCCCTCCATAGTTCTGTGATACTGGTCAAGTTACTTAGCTTTGTTATGTCTCCTTTTTCTTATCTATATAATGGAGATATTTATAGTATCTTCGTCTTAGGATTGTTATGAGAGTTAAATGAGCTAATGCATATAAAAGTTCTTAGCACAATGCATGGTATATAGAAAACACTTGGTAAATGTTTACCACCATGATTATATTAATAATCTGAGACTCTAACTCTCATTTGTCCTTTCTGACAAACATTTCCACCCAAATGTTTCAGAGTTATTAGCATGGAAAAAAACAAATGTGTCTATCAGAGCTGGATGCTTACAGCCAACATCCAGAGTTATCTTGCCAGCTGCTCTTCCAGCATCATTGACAGCTACACACATATAATCACCAGCATCCAGGTCTTGAGTTTCTTGAATCTTCAAAAGTCCCAAGAGAGGGTCAATAATGAGGAATGTTGAGGGCCTCAGCTCAAGATCCCCTAGGTCAAAACAAAGAGAGAACATTAAACCCTAAAGTATTTACATAGTTTACTCTGCTCTTGGTTTGATTTCAGGACTGCTGAAGAAAATCGACTGTCAAGTTTTTACAATACTGTTGTCTGGAACAACGCAAACACTTAAACAATGTTTACGCAAAGAAAGGACAAAGGGTTTGTTGGCACTAAGCTGGTTTATTAGTCTGTATGATTCTGTGTGCTAACCAAGAGCCAAAAATCTGGCCCCAGCTATTTCCTACTGTGAATGTACCTAAATAAGAAAGAACTCTTCAAAGCTATACTGCGGAGGACGAGGTTGGGGAGCGGGGTGTGGCAAAGGATGGCAGCTGTCACTGTGGCTGTGTTAGGTAAGAAGGGAATGGGAAGATGAAGGTTGAAAAAAGGTTTCTACCAGCTTTGTGGCAGGATGAATTTCAGTTATTTAGAAAGTGCTTAGGAGATCCTAAACTGGTCCACAAAGCTGGTAGAAACCTTTTTTTCAACCTTCATCTTCCCATTCCCTTCTTACATAGCCCCCCCCCAGTATCCCCACCCCCCCCGCCCCCCCCCCCCCCCATCAACCCTCGGTTTGTTCTCAGTTTTTAAGACCTAAATAAGAATGAACTCTTCAAAGCTGTACTGGGAAGGACGAGGTTGGGGAGTGGGGTGTGGCAAAGGATGGCAGCTGTCACTGTGGCTGTGTTAGGTAAGAAGGGAATGGGAAGATGAAGGTTGAAAAAAGGTTTCTACCAGCTTTGTGGACCAGTTTAGGATCTCCTAAGCACTTTCTAAATAACTGAAATTCATCCTGCCACAAAGCTGGTAGAAACCTTTTTTCAACCTTCATCTTCCCATTCC